GCCCCTAGTAGCGTCCTTGCTCCTAGTAGTAAGGCCAGGAGCCCCTACTTAGTAGCTTCTTGTTCCTAGTAGTAAGGCCAGGAGCCCCTAATAGCGTCCTGTTCCTAGTAGTAAGGCCAGGAGCCCCTAGTAGCGTCCTTGCTCCTAGTAGTAAGGCCAGGAGCCCCTAATAGCGTCCTGTTCCTAGTAGTAAGGCCAGGAGCCCTAGTAGCTCCTAGTAGTAAGGCCAGGAGCCCCTAATAGGCATGCGCAACAAATCTACACAACCCTTGTAAATATGTGTGCAACAAGCATATGAGGCCATATCATATAACCACCATGACGACTTGCAATCGATCCCACCCCTCAACAGCCCTTCCATATGTGGGCTTCTGTTGGGGAGATAATGTCCATGAAATAGCGTATATAAGCAAAATCTGTACAAGCATGAGCCCAAACTAACCCAATATTAAATATTCAATCACAATCCCACACTGATCTCATCTGATCTCCAAACCCTGATGTGTTTCCTTCGGTTGGCGGCCTGCGATCTGGAAATCGTCATGGCTCCGGAAGAAGTCTCCACCCCGAGAAACGAGCCAAACCTCTTGAGCCAACTGGAGGAAATGTTCAGGATGCTCATTAAACTAAACATGCGCAGAAAGTTGATGAAGTTGATCTACACAGCAGATTCATCAATGAACATATGGATCTTGGGCTGCTCTGGCGCGACACAATCTGAGTGACTTCTCCAAAATACCCTACTGTACGTTACATCATCGTGTAAGTGTCCTATGTTGTGCAGTTGCTGAGCACTATTTGGCTTGGCCTTGCACAAAATTGGCTGACTTGTCAAAGCATCCTAAAGCGATGTCATCACACAATGATGGTCGTGAAGGCGGTCCCCGTTCGAACCTAAATTTCGCAGCCAACCGTTTTCATGTGCCTGTTCGCTTGCCTTGGTATCTCCACGCGATGGAGGCAGTTCTTGGTTCAATAAAAGGGGCCACGGAGCGCCGGAATCTCCACACTTCAGTGCCAACCAAATGCCCAGACCATGAGCACTACAGTAACTTTTTGTAATGTTATTGCATATACACGCACACACCCAGAACATATATATATAATATATATTATATAGAAGGTGCGTTCCAGGAGTTTCTTCCACAAAAGTACACCTGTCATCTCCTTCCGGCACGTCCTACGGCTAGAACGGCTTGAAGCACTTGGCTTAAGAGGACACGGGGTGGTACACCAGGGCTGTAAACGTGTACCAAGCCCTTGCACCTTCAGCTCAGCGATCCTTGGACATGCTCATCAAAATGTCCAGGACATACAAGAAAATGTTGACAATGTCCAGGTACAGCTGGATCGCACCTTCCACGTAGTCGTCCACCTTCAGCACGTTCGCAATGCGCCAAGTATCAAAAACCAAATATCCACAGAAGATGCCAGCTCCAAGGAAAGAGACCTGGGCTGTTCGAATGCTTCGACGCTGGCTGACATGGAAGGCGGCGGCTCAATGGTCGCAAACAGTGGAAAAAGTCACAGTATAGTTGGATCTCACTTTAGCTAGCAGCTAGAAAATCAACACTTCTCAGAACTGCGACTTGTTCACCAACCTTCAACACTTCTCAGAACTGCGCCAGGACACCCCAAGGTGCAAAGCACCTGTCTGCAAGGAGGAAAAGAAGATGCTCAAGAGGCCGAAGCCCAAGAGCCCGAAGGTCAAGGGGAAAAGAATGGCACCCAGGAAGGAAAAGTCTCTCTTCGATCCTCACCAGCGACTGGTACTCGTCACCCGAAGCGAGCACGCGTGCTGGTGGGTACTTCTTCGTGCTGGAGCATGCGTCATGAATGGATTTGAGATGACAGGGGGTCATGAGCATTGATACTCGCAGGAGTCTGGCAGAGAAAGCCATACAGTAAATGTAATGTGGGGTACCCATACTGGGAAACATACTGGATGGACCTATGGCATGAAGGGGTCTGTGAAACAAAATTGCTTTGCACAAAAGATCCAACGAGAAGTGGCAAACCATGTTCATAGGAGCTCATCTGGGGTGAGAGTAGCGAGACCCCCTGGACTGGAGCTCGCCTGTCTATATATATAGTATGACCACGAAAATGAACATGAACATTGGGAGCTCGTATGTCAAGGACCCCTGGCAAAGCACTGGTGCTTCACTGATTCACACCTCAACTTCTGCACGAGCTTCGGAATGTGTAGACTGTGAGGCCAAGCACCAAAAGGCCTGCTTCGGGAAAATTCTGGATATTCAAGGAACATCTCTGAGACGAGTTGGTGATGAAAAACAGTGTCCCTGGCTTTGAGTTCAGCTCAGGACTCTCCATTTCAACCTCCTCAAGCACCAGCTTTGCACTCAAATCCACCCTTCGAGGGTCGCACCTGTGATGAGTGCAGCCTGAACCACCAAGGCGCCCATGCCTGCCGCTGCGACCATGCCACAAATCACCCCAACATTCAAAGCCATGACCTCAGTGTCGAGCCATATCCTCTGACACAAAGATACCAAAGCTTGAGCCGGCCAGTTTGCGGCTAGCGCCATTGTAAGCACCTCCCCACAAAGCAAGTCATCCAAGGAAACACCTAACAACTCATCCTAACAACCGAAGTCATTCAGCAAAGCAGCTCCGGTGAGGAAGGCAAGGCCATAGAAGTTCAATGGGTAGCCTCACTTCACTAAGTTCTCTTTAAAAGGCACAGAAAATCCTGATCCACCTGCATTAGCTTTGGCTTCAGGCAGCAATCTCCAATGCATTTCGATGCGTTGCATGTAGTTGAAAAAAAGAAGAGGTTACTTTTGAGTGAACAGCTCTGCCAAATCACTCTTCTTTCCACCCGCGCACAGGGCCATAGCACAAATCAGGGCAATCAACGAGCCCCAGCGATAAGCACTGGGGTAGTTCCTGGGCCGGAGACACAAGGAATCGCATCTGGTGGGTTCCATTGATACTGCCTTTGATGGCAGGGAAGCTCTAAATAGGTCCTCGTCAGCAAAACGGCATTTTTTATTTAATTTGGATAGTTTGGATATGTTTGGATAGATCATTGCAGCTCCACATGGGGACGCTGCAGCCTAGTCACTCCACCATACTCCGTCCTAGCCAAACCATGCATACCCGTAGCCAAGGGGCCTCAGCAAGCTCAGCACTGCTGGCTGCAAAGGCCCGCAGCACAATGCAGCCACAAGTGCCGTGGACAGCACTTGGGTGCATACAATGCCATAGACCTTCTGGATGAAGCCTGTCACATAGTCCACCGTGATCCGGGAGCGCCAACAACCGTTTTCACACCACCTGGCCTAGGCGAACTTGACGGGCGCTGATGCCGTAGAGGTTGCGATTGCCATGTCCGCACTCAAGGTCCATGGTGACTGTGGACCGGACCGAAAGAACCGTCTTGGGCGTTTGAACCGTCTCTGCAGATCTGCCGAACCGAACTTGGTCTGGTGCCAAGCAGAAAAACACCCACAAAACCCAAGCTCATCCAGGAGGTGTTTAGAGGCTCAGGTAGGTTGAAAAGAATGGTGAATCCATGTGGATCCCTTCATCCTGAACACATGATGGCACACACACACACACATTCCTGTCCCTCACGTGGTCTGTGGAATGATGCCCCATGCGCACCAAACATGTCCAGACCAGGCACCAAGTCTTTTTCGCTGCACATCATCACACCAGCAAATATCTCAGCATAGCCGGCGAGTTTTGCTGAGTGTCCCCTTTCCGATGTGTCATGAAGTCTCAGGGGAAGTTGATGACGCTGGGCCGCCCGCAGTTCAAATGAGAAAGGCACCAAGATGCGGAAGAAAGAACTGCCAGATATGACGACGGTGTGCTTTTGTATGAATACGACTCAGTCATTGTTGGTTTATAATCTGCCCTAAGATTAAGACATATTCGACACTTGCGCAGCACATGTGATTCAACTGGATTCACAGCAGTGCTTCAATCATGGATATCATTGGGCATCTATATAAGACTTTGTGGGCAGGCTTGCAGTGGTGAGGACATTGGAAGCCCTATGACATCCTATATGACTATGGCACCTTGTTCTGAGGACTAGTGATCATGAGCCCATGTTTGTCATCGGGAGAGGGGTCGTTTTCGAAACGATAAGTTCCTCGCAACTGCCAGCTGCACGCATCAATCAGTGCTGAGGAGGCCGGCTTCAAATGAGCGCAACCCATCTTGATCACATGCCTCTTACACCCCTGACTCACTAACATGGAAGTGGAGTTCACCCCCTGTTTGTAAGGGTAGTCTTCCAAGGGACCATGTCACCTTCCATCTTAGAAAGTCAGAGGGTACTTGGAATCAGAATGGAGCACTGCGGAACTGCAGTGTGTGCCTTCCAGGATGGCACGTCGATCAAGACGAGCAGGAAAAGCAAGGCATAGCAAGGCTTTTGGGGCACAGTACAGGCCCCGACCAGTCAAACTGGCCATGTTAGAAACTGCCTGTCCTCTGTCCTCTGCAGTTACCTATGGCCGCCTATGGCCTTTGCAGAGATCATGCGCCCTCTTCATCCTCATCCTCTTCCTCTTGGGCCTCCTTTTTCTTCTGCCAGCCCTCGTCTTTTCCTGCAACATTCAAATACTGAGCTCCGACCCACTACAGAAACAAGACATCGCCAACACATGCCAACACTATCATCAACTCACCAGGCAATGCGCAACACCCAACCAAAGAAACCCTCATTTGCCAAAAGCAAATACAACAAATGCCCATCCAGGGCATTTGTAACCGGGCCTCGCCTCCCAATGCCACCCAGTGGTCTCTGGCAGCTGCGCGGACCACCGCCACTTGGTCGTTGCATAAGATCTTCAGCTGCTCAGGTGGCGCGCCGCTCTTGTGCTGCTCCCGCAGGACATGGATCGCAGCCAAGCGTGCCTCGTCTCAGTTCAGGTGCAGACTCTCGTCCGGCTCCGCGGTGGAGGTGAATGCTGGGCAAAGTCCCCTCCCCTGGCCCAGGCCATTATCTAATCGTATCTAAACCACAAAATTGAAGTTGGGAGGGCATGTTGAAGCATTCTTCTTGTGGCGGGGACCCCCGGTGCCGGACCTCAGGAAGAGATGAAGCACAAAGACTTTTCAGGGCTTCTTCTGGCATAGCTTTGCTCACGGCCTGGCAGGGCCAGGATAACTGAGAAACAATGGAAGCTCCAGACTCTCTAGATCTGATGAACAGTGATAAACAATTGACCCCTTGGGTGAGACGGATGGTGAAAACAAGAAAGGCCACATGCGACGAAGCGATTTCTTACAGCACAAGAGGAGGCCAGCATCTTGAAGGCGAGTCTCGTTGTCGCAGGACTCGTGTTTTCTGTCAAAGACTTGTCTCAAACATCCAGCCTGAGAGAATTTGGGAAGTTCCAAGCCGTTGGCTTCACCTCAGCACATTGAAAATCAGTATCTGAGTGATTCTGAGTGAAGTTTTGGCAATATTATGTCCAAGCCTTGGAGCATCAAGACCCCATTAGCAGCTCATAGCTAAGCACTAGTAATCTCAATGTGACTGCCTTTGCTTTTGGCAGTCTGTTGCCAAACGTCATTCGCGACTACAAACGTTAAACTAAATCCCAAACATCCCGCAAAGTCCCTCGTATGGTTCTATCATATTCTATGGATCAAATGGATCAAATGTTGGAAGATGAAGAATCCCCACGGACATTTGGCGTACGCTTGGAACACCTCTTGGTCTTTTGTCCACGTTCCATGTCTGCGCTCCGCCCTCAGCCAAGCTCTGAGCATAATTTGAGCAAGGTCTTGAAGTCCTCGCTCTGAGGTTTGTCGCGCGTGGTTTGAATGAGGTTGGGCCACAGGCGCACTGCATCCTCTGGAGAGCTCCTATGGCAGGACGTGTTTTTCAGTGCTGAAGGCACTGGAGAGGTGGCGCTGTTCAGTGAACCCGCCAACAACATGCATCAAACCTGCATTGGTCAAAAATGTGCAAGAGTTTCTGGAGAGGAGTTGAGCCAAGTTCTTATGCGGCTACACCACAACTGCCAAAGTGTGCCCTACTCTAAGCAAGATACGTGCAAACCATGTACCTAGCTGAAAGAAAGGACGCGGCCCTTTTGCAAATGCGATTCGGCTCTGTGCGCACCTTGTGCCGCGACGGCGTCGGATCATTTGACTCAAGTGCTGGGGTTCCTCTTGGGGTCTTGACTGAACTTCACATTCCCAATACTTTGTTGAGTCAAATGGGCCTTCGCTGCATCACGGAGCTGGATCCATGGCCTGTACAGCCAACCAACGAAAGTCTCCAGCAGCTTGTCGTTGAGCTTCGTTAGGGCGTCTGCCCATTGCAAGGTCGTGGGGACCCAGAAGATGTCCTCCCTGCCCACGAACTGTTGCATCCCCCTGACCACAACTATGGTCCTCTTGTCTTCTGTACGGGGGTTTTCGCTCACGAGGATGTCGTATAGACTGCGACAGTCCGTGACAGCGATGATCCTGTGGACCCTGCTCAGCGTGAAGCTTGGTTGCTTCTGCAAGACCTCTGCAAGCATGTAGGCCAGAAAGGAAGCTCGGTCGATGCTGGTGTCAGCGGCACTCGACTCTGCCGACAAGGTGGATCGACAGATCCTTGCGGATCGTGAACTCTTCCAATCCAACAGAAGCCCTTGGCTCACGGTGTCGGTGGCCTTTGGTTCAGCCAGCATGATCAATGAGCCATGCTGTGAGGCTGATCCAGCTGCGTTCGCCCAACTGCTGTCCGAAAAACTCACAACCAATGTATGTGCATTCAATGCAACAGGCCACATGTTGATCCCAACTTCACTGCTCTGGTGGAGGTGCTGTACTGCATTGTACATGTTCTGGAGGTCCTGGTAGGTGGACTTGGTACCTTTGCTGCACAATGACACCGTGCTGGCAATGTCTGGACGTGTTTGTCCTGCCAGCCACTGCAAGCAACCCGCCACACTGCGGTACTCCGGAAGGTCTTCCGGCTTCAGCGTCTCCTCCAAGCGTCCTTTGCAGCGAACATTTCCAACCTGCATGCCAGCAATGAAACTGCTCTGTGTGAGGGACACGTAGTACTGCTTGCCATCATGTCGGAGGTGAATCTCCTTTCCCTTGAAGGTCAGGGAGTTGGTGACTGACAAGGTCTTGTGCCCCACTTGAACAGGTCGGTGAGTTCTGCCCAGTTCCAACCCTGCTTGTGGCACAACAGGAAGTCGTCCACGTAAGCCACGAGGATGGCCACAAGTGACTCATGCTGATCTCCTGGCAGCTTGCTGTGCTTGAAAAACAGCATCTTGTCCAACGTGTGCTGTTGGAAGCCTGCCTCATTGACCAATGTCTTGACGACATGCATGGTCCATGTGCGTGGTGCACTGGCAAGTCCGTAGATGTTGCCAACTATCTTGTAGAGCGGAGCCCGGAATGTTCCAGCAAGGGAGGTCACTCCGTCCTGTGGCGGACGCCAAAAGAGTGGTAGCTTCCGGGGCTCTGGAGTGCCCTGCAAAAAGGCGGTCTTGATGTCGCCGCACCACAAGTGCCAACT